GGGGGGGGGTGTTGTGGCGCTGGGGGGGGGGGGGAGTGTGGCTCTCAGGCGGTCAATAAGGGCTCTCAGGGGGGCTGTGCAGCTCTCAGGCGGTCTGTACGGCTCTCAGGTGATTATTTGGGCTTTCAGGGGGGCTGTGCGGGCTCTCAGGGAGGCTGTGCGACTCTCAGGTGGGCTCTGCGAGCTGTTAGGTAGCCTGTACAGGCTCTCAGGTGGTCTATAAGGGCCCTGAGAGACCTCAGCGGGGCAATCCAGGCTGATCGTACATATCTTTATGGGGCACCAATATGTTAATCCGAACCTAGGCTCGCGTGTCAGTAGAGTGGGGCCCTACGTGCCCTGTGTGGAATGCGTGCTATAGGTTCACCACCACTTCACTATACAATGTAATTGTACAATCTCCTTTAGATCAATGATTGGTGATTAGATTTGACCTCAAATTGCATAGTTTGAGTAAATCTAAAGAAAATTGTACAATCAGATTGTATTGTATAGTGTTTGTCTAAAAATTGTCCCATTTGCTACATTGATTTCAGGACGTCCAAAACCGGGTTGTTGTCATCAAGTGTATTCTACAGCTGACCTCTGTACGTTTCCAATAACATTTATGTAACCAGTTTGTATCACAAATACACAACAAGTTTAATTGTCTGCCCTGTGCTTGTTCTAGGAACCAGAGTGCCGTTCTCTTGTTTCTACACGTGACATAATAATTGAAGGACGCTTTAGGACCCAATGTGCAGGACCCATTTTAGTATGTCCTTGTAAGTGCCTGCTCGGAATTTATTTTCTGATTGGGTGAAAGTTTTCAGGCAGTGCCGGAGGACAGGCTGGTGTCTGTGTCAGTGACATTGCCTCAGCCTCGGCTAGGAACATGAGTGCGGGGCTCGGACGGCTTCTCTCCGGAGGGGCGTTGAGATGCTGCGGCTCTTTGCGGTGGAGGGGCCCGCTCGGCCTGGTGAGGGCCCATCAGGTGAGAAGTTGTAGGGGTCGGCAGAGAATGATTTCCAAGGGCAGCCCCAGATTATGCAACCCTGTCCCTGAAAATGGCCATTGTTTTGGGGTTTTTTTTAACCATTTTTAGAACTTGTTCTCATTTTTAAACAGACCTGTCATCACTCTGCATCACAGCAAAGCATTTTCTTTTTAGTTTTGGGTTAAATGTTAAGAATAAAACCTGAACATTTGCTATTTGTGTCCCATTGGAACATTTCCCCCTCACTTTCGGTCCTGGTGACACAGCAGGAATTGAGAGGAAATCTTTGCAAAGTGAGGGGAAATCCCTTTTTAGTTCTCACCAGCACAAGTGTCCCGATTGAAATATTTCCCCTTGCTACGTCTTCTGGTGACAGCTGTATATGTTCCTATCACTTTCTGCCTCCGTAATAATGATCCCCAGCATACCCAGAGAGGTTTAATCTCCTCAGTGGGGACACAGGCATCCATAATATCCTGATAAAGGTTCTGTCTCTTCCACAAGCTATGGAAAACAAAACGGTTTTGTCTGCGATACAATTTAAAGCGTTTCTCAACCCAAAAAGAAAAATGTCATGTTGCAGCTCAGATGAGGTGACGGTATTCGCTTTCTTTTCTCAGACTTTTCCTTTGTTTTTATCTGGTGATCCTGCAAGCAACACACTTCCTGTTTCTGGGTGGCTACGCTCACTTTATCCGTGGAGGGAGCCATGGTTGTCACTAGGAATGCACCGACACAGTTTTTTCGGTATCGGGTACCGATGTTTTTTTCCCCGGTGCTCTCCAATACTGGTGCCATGTGTCTCGATTATCAGAAAGTCAGACGGTGGATCATCAGACAGCGGATCATGCCCCTTTGCCCGGCTTCCTGATTGCCTGGGAAGCCGATGTTCTATTAAAGGAGAACTATGAGGTTAAGGCTTTTCCCCATAGTTCTCCTTAGGGTAACGTGAGGACACAAACTAGCGTCCTCCCGTCACCCTAGGCTCAGTATACCGCGAGCTACAGCTCGCAGTATACTGAGACGCTGAAGCGGATCCCGACAATTATGCGGGGATCCGACCCAGCTGCGTGACTGACAGCTGGTTTTGCCTATCTAGAGGCAGAGCCAGCTGTACCCTCCCCCGTCCGTTCCGCCATTCAGCGCTGGCGGATTGGAGCGGGGAGTCCGGCCTCTCCCCTGTCACAGCAGAGAGCCGTGACAGGATCGAGAGGTGAGCGAACCCGGTATGTGTTCGCTCACTTCCCGATCTACTGAGCCGACCTGTGACAGTCTCATTGTCACAGGTCGGCTAGAACTATGAGGTGAGTGAAAAGCACTCACCTCATAGTTCTCCTTTTAAAAGAACACCGGCTTCACTTGCCGAGGCTGCCTGGCTTTCTGAGGTGCTGTCCGGCTTCCTGATAATCCGAGCACACAGCACCGGTATCGGCGAGTGTAGAAAAAAAAATATTGGTACTCAATACCGAAAAAAACGCGGCGGTGCATCCCTAGTGACAACCATGGCTCCCTCCATGGATAAAGTGTGCGGCGAATGCTCATGGGTCAGCATGGTCACCTGACCTCACTGACCAATGAGAAACGCTTCTTAACAAAAAGCAGTTCGTATTGGTCAGCGCAGTGCTGACCAACGAGTGCCTGCATGTGTATTGATAGTACACGGCAGCCACTGAGGGGAAGGAGCATTCAGTTAAAGGCAAGAGCATCGGTGAGAGGGGGCAGATTGGTGGCGGTGATTCCATTTTCCTGAATTCTCCTGGGAAAGTGGAATTACCCTTTAAAGCGAACCTTCACCCGTCAAAATGACATCCTCTCAGCTGCTTCCACTTCCCCCATACAATCACTCCCCGAATCCTAGCCTAGGTGAGGGTGACGTATCCGGCTTTCAGCTACCTAGGATGTCTATTTCACGTGTACGTCATACATCCCTCGAGGCAGTTTGGGCAATGTCGCGCATGCCCATACCCACTGCAGGTCTCTGCCAGGTCTATGGGACCTATCGGAGATCAGCAGTGTCCACTTCAAGTTATGAAAATAGGTGGAGTAGAGTTCCTGTACTTGAATGACAACGCTTCTCCATAGCTACAGGACATTGTATGAGTATTGTCACCATAGGACAGGAAGTATGTTACTGACTGGATCATCAGGTGAAAAAAAGCCAGGAACAAAGCTTATGCAGCCACCACATCCAAGGACTGGTGCGCTGCAATATATTACATTTCTGTCCTTTGGTATAATACATTCCAGTGCAGCTCTGTATTCAATAATACATCATTCTTTTTTATCACATGTAGTGCAAGTACCTGAAAATGACTTGACATACACTTCACTCCCCTATGCAGCAGAACTCAGACTGGGAGAGGGAGAAGCCGCACAAGGAGTCAATCAATTGTGCTGCAGTGCTATCAATAAGTATGCTAATAGGAGAAGAGAGTAAAGTGACAGAGAGATGAGCTCACCAGTCTGCTGCTTCTCCTTTACAGCCCAGTGATGGGCTTAAAAGTGTTAAGCCCTGACAGGGTGGGTTGTGGAGCAGAGCTGTGTAAATCTCTGGCCTAGATAGATGGGCGCGTATGCCTGTACACTATCTGCGTCCACGTGTGAGCACCTAGACGCACACGGATGTGCAGGTTCGTGTAAGTACGTGCAGCTGCGTCCTCCCATAGGGAAGAACAAGCTGCTGCTTGCAATTACATAAAGCGCCTGTCCCTTCTGGGGTGGGGTCTTTTTGTAGGTGTGAACGCGGTACGGACGCGCACGCCCGTCTGAATGAGCCCATATAGTATATACTGTGTGTACAAATTCCTTGAAATGCAAATGACGCCATTTTTTGTGTCTGTTTCAGTCCATTAGGCAGATTCTCACATGGAGACCAACTCCAATGTTATCCTTCCTGGGTTCCAGGCCATTGAAAGGTACATGCTACAGAAAGGTTGTCATCTCTTTGTGTGTAAAGTGCAGGTTACAAAAGAGAAAAGGGGCGCAACTAACGATTATTTTCACAATCGATAAGTTGGTCGATTTTTTTTTTTTCTTTTTCGATTAAGCAGATACAAAATGAAATACCATCCTTAATATAAAATAAAATGCACAAATGGAGTGTTAAACATAAAGCTTACTTCAGAATAAAACTGCGTGCACTGCAATAGAAGGCATGCCATTGCAGTACAGCACGTTCTGCACATTGGGAGGTTTGATGGAACTCTCCTCACTGCTGGGCACCGTCTGCAGGGGTCTGTGTCACTTCTGATCGCCCGCTGGGAGCAGCAGGGACCGGAGGGGACACAGGGCCGATTGAAACACCGGCTCCCAGCGCAGAGCAGAGAACTAGGGGACCCAGACCAACTAATCGATAATGAGAATCGTTGACAACGATTAGTTGGTTGCAGCCCTAAAAGAGGATACAGGTTTCCTTGTAAAGAAAAGACAGTGAGAGGAATGTGTCAGAATCTGGAGCAGTTGCCCATAGTAACTAATCAGCTTCTGTATTTCATTTTCAAAGCTTAACTCAACAAACTGAAGAGAGAAGCTGATTGGGTGCCATGGGCAACTGCTCCAGATTCTGTCTGCTCCAGTTTTTATCAATTCCCCCCATCATACTTACCTGTTCCGTAACCTGTGCTGCCCATCTACCCTTTCTTCAACATCTCCGGCTACCGGCTTCATCTAAAACTCTTCCAGGACTACCAGATTTTTGGTCCCCCACTGAGCGCTGTGGTTCCTTCCATCAGCCCCTACATCACTGTGGGTTACAGTAGATGCCAGTTTTCTATATTGTGCAATTTCTGTCTTGAATTTGAGCTCTGTGCAGTTTTCTGGGAAAAGCAAATAGCCAATCACAGCTATTAAAGCTGAAGTTTAGGATTTATTTTTTGGCAGAGATAAAGCACCAAATACTGCAGGTAATGGGATACACATATATTGTGTTTGGTACTGTACCCCCCCCCCCCCCCCTTACACAGAGTAAAGAATGTCCCCAGTGTTGCCATGGTTACATGAAAGCAACATGTAAACTCTTTATGAGCAAAGCATTGCTGCGGAGCGGATGCACTTGCTGGGTCTTATATCTTTATGGGACTCCAGCAGTAGCATCTTTTCAATATAGTTTACTTCTGCATGGAGTCTTCCACCTCCTTCCGCAGCACTGCAATGCTTTTTCATTTTTTTCATAGTTTCTCACCACTTACCATAAAAGATTAAAAAAAACAGGAGCATGATTCACTCTGCTGACATGTACCCAGAATTGACCCTTTAAATCATATCTAAAGCCAAAACTTTCTTTCCATGTTGGATAGAGTAGGGGAGAGTTAAACGACTGTCCTGTTTTTTTGCCATCAGTGTTTCAATAGGGAGAAACACTCTGAGTGGGAGATAGACAGGTTGGAGTAAAGAGTTCCATAGGATGGGAGAGACTCTAGAGAAGTCCTGGAGGCGAGCATGGGAGAAGTTGACGAGGGAGCTGGAAAGCAGGAGGTCTTGTGATGAGCGGAGGGGACGATTAGGGTGATACTTTGACACAAGGTTTGAGATATAGCCGGGGACAGAGTTGTGGATGGCTTTGTAAGTCGTTGTTAATATTTTGGATTTTATCCTTTGAGTGAGTGGAAGCCAGTGGAGGGATCGGCAGAGGGTGACAGGGGATGGAAGCCAGTGCAGGGATTGGCAGAGGGGGACAGGGGATGGAAGCCAGTGCAGGGATTGGCAGAGGGGGAAAGGGGATGGAAGCCAGTGCAGGGATTGGCAGAGGGGGACAGGGGATGGAAGCCAGTGCAGGGATTGGCAGAGGGGGACAGGGGATGGAAGCCAGTGCAGGGATTGGCAGAGGGGGACAGGGGATGGAAGCCAGTGCAGGGATTGGCAGAGGGGGACAGGGGATGGAAGCCAGTGCAGGGATTGGCACAGGGGGGTTGCAGACACTGAGTCGTTGGCCAGGTGGATGAGTCTAGCAGCTGCATTCATGTTAGACTGAAGGGTTGAGGAGCCTGTGTAGTGGAAGGCCAATGAGGAGGGAGTTGCAATAGTCAAGACGAGATACAACAAGTAAGTGTATGAGTAGTTTTGTGGTTTCATTGGTGAGGAAGGGGCGTATTTTGGAGATGTTACGAAGGTGAAGGCGGCAGGATTTGGATAGTGATTGGATGTGGGGAAGAAAGGTGATGTCCAAGTCAAGGATGACACCTAGGACCTTGGAATGGGAGGAGGGATGGATAGTTGTGTTATCAATCTCAAGGGAAAAGTTGGGGGAAGGCACAAGGGCGGGCGGAAATATGAGCTCAGTTTTTGAAAGGTTGAGTTTTAAGAAGTGTTGTGACATCCAGACGGATATGTCATTTAGTAGATTAGTGACACGCAAGGACACTGAGGGGGTGAGTTGTGGAGTAGAAAGATAGATTTAAGTGTCATCGGCATAGAGATGGTATTGGAAGCCATGTGAGGTTATTAACTGACCAAGGGAGGAGGTATAGATAGAGAAGAGAAGGGGTCCAAGGACAGAGCCTGGGGGGACCCCTACAGAAAGAGGGAGGGTAGGGGTTAGATTTTTAGGTGACACTAAAGGATCGCTTAGATAGGTAGGAGGAGAACCATGAGAGAGCAGAATCTTGTAGGCCAAGCGAGTGGAGTTTTTTGAGGAGGAGCAGGTGGTCAACAGTGAAATTAACCACTGAACTATCACGTTCTCAAACAATTCATCCCCACACAGCTACCTCCTCATGTATC